GATGTTATTTTTCTTTAAATGTTTAGTAGAATTCTTCAATAAAACCATCTGGGTCTGAAGATTTCTTTTTCAGAAATTTAAAAATCATGAATTCAATTTCTTTAATGGTTACAGGGCCATTCAAGCTATCTGTTTCATATTGGGCAATTGTGATAGTTTGTGCTTTTCAAGGAACTGGTCCATTTCATCTAAGTTGTTAGATTTACGTATGTAAAGGTATTTGTAGTATTCTCCTATTATTCTTTGGAATAACAAGGGCCTACAATGACACTCCCCTGTTTCATTCCTGATATTGGTAATTTATATTTTCTTTTTCTATTTTCCTTGTCATTCTTGCCAGAGGTTTAATTTTATTGATCTTTTCAAAGAATCAACTACTTTTAATTAATTTTCTCTATTTTATGTTTTCAATTTCACTTATTTTTGCTCTTCATTATTTCCTTCCTTTTGCTTGTTTTGAGTTCATTTTGCTTTTCCTTTTCTAGTTTCTTGAGGTGGGAGTTTATATTACTGATTTGACTTTTTTCTTTTCTAACGTAAGCATTTTGGTGCCATAAATTTCCTTCTCAGCACTGCTTTAGCTGCATCCCACAAATTTTGATATTTGTATTTTCATTTACCTTTAGTTCAATGTTGTTGTCTTTTAAAACTTCCCTTGACATATTGCTTTTTGACCAATGGATTATTTAGAAGTGTTGTTTAGTTTCCAAGTGTTTGGGGGAATTTTTCTGTTATGTTTCTGTTATAGATTTTTATCTTGATTCATTGTATCAGAGAACATACTATGTATGATTTCAATTTTTAAAATTTAAGTTTCTTTCCTTTAAGGCCCATGGTATGGTCTAGTTTGGCAAATGTTCCATAGGTGCTTGAAAAGAATGTGCATTCTGCTTGTTGTTGGGTGGAGTATTATATAAATGTCAATTACATCCTGTTGGCTGATATTTTTCTGTATCCTTATTGATGTTCTACAATTGTTGAAAGAGGGACACTGAATCTAACTATAATTGTGGATTTATCTATTTCTTCTTTTAGATCAATCAGTTTTTGCTCCACATATTTTATAGTTTCTGCTGTTTAGTGCATACACATTTAGGATTTCTGTATCTTCTTGGTGGATTGACCTTTTCATCATTGTCTAATGTCCCTCTCTGTACCTGGTATTCTTCGATCTGAAATCTGTTTCATCTGATATATTAATAAAGCCACTCCTGCTTTGTTTTGGTTAATGTTTGCATGATATATCCCTTTCCATTCTTTTACTTTCAGCTTACATTTATTGTGTTTGAAGTTAGTTTCTTTTAGACAGGATATAGTTGGGTCATTTAAAAAATTAACTCTGCCAAGCTCTTTTAATTGATGTTTTTAGGCCACTCACATTTAATGTAACTATTGATATGTTAGCCTGCCAATTTATTTGTTGTTTCCTGCTTGTTCCCTCTGTTTTTAGTTTCTTTGTTTTCTTTTATATACCTTCCAATGGGCTATTGGAATATTTTATAAATACTCTATTTTGATTTACCTATGGTGTTTCTGAGTGTATTTCTTTGTATAGGTTTTTTAGTGGTGGCCCTAATTATCATATTGTACACAGAAACTTAACAAGAGTCAACTGGTGTCAACATTTTACCAGTTCAAATGAAGTGTAGAAACCTTAGCTCCCTTTATATCACTTTCCCCTCCTTTGTTTATAATATAATTGTCTTAGGTATTTCCTCTACATATATCTCAAACTCCTGGGCTCAAGTGATCCTCTTGCCTCAGCCTCCCAAAGTGCTAAGATTATAGGTGTGAGTCACCATGCTCAGCCTCAAGATTTCATCTTTAACAATAGTTTTTGTATGATGTGCCATAATGTAGTTTTCTTCATGTTTCTTGTGCATGGCATTCAATGATTGCTTAAATTTGTGGGTTTGGAGTTTTTTATCAAAATTAGAAACATTCTGGCCATTTTTTAAATGTATTTTTTCTGTCCCCTGTTCCTCTCCTTTGCAGACTTTAATTACACGTATATTAGATGGCTTGAAGTTGTCCCAGAGCTCAATTATGCTCTATTCATTTAAAAAAATGATTGTTTTCTTTCTGTGTTTCATTTTGGATAGTTTCTATTCCTATGTCTTCATGTTCACTGATCTTTTTTTTCGTAATGTCTAATCTGTCAATAATTCCATCTAGTGTATTTTCCATGCCAGAAATTGCAGTTTTCCTCTCTAAAAGTTTGATTTGGAACTTTTAAAATATCTTCCATATCTCCACTTAGCTTTTTGAACACATGGAACCCAATTATAACAATTGTCTTAATGTCCTCATCTGCTAATTCTAACATTTATGTTACTTCTGTGTCAGCTTTGATTAATAATTTCTTCATAAGTCATAAAGTCCTGCTTCTTTGCATGCCTATTTAAGTTTTGATTGAATGCCAGACAGTATGAATTTTACCTTAATGGGTGCTAGATAGTTTTGTATTTCTATAAATATTCTTGAGCTTTGTTCTGGGATAGTTAAGTTCCCTGGAACTAGTTTGACACTTAGGATCTTGTGTTTATGTTAGGTAGTCTTGAGCAGTACTAAGTCTTGGGCTATTTTATGCCCTACTACTAAGGCAAGATCTTTTTGAGTCCTCTACCCAATGTATCATGAATTATGAGGATTTCCAGCTTGGCTGATAAGAACAGGTACTATTCTAGTTGTGAGTATCAGGCACCATTGTCTCTAGTCTTTTAGGGTGGCTCCTTCTTTGGCCTTGGGTAGTTTCCTCATGCGCATGTACTGATCAGTACTCTGCTGAATACTCAAAGGGGACCCTCTTCAGGTCTTTATAGAGTTCTGTATGTAGCTCTCTCCTTTCCTCTATGTAGCTCTTTCTCCTCTAGCTATTAATAACTTGGTCTCCCTGAAGTCCCAGATCCATCTCCTTGACTCAAGGAAACCACTGGCGCCCACCCCTAGGTCCTCCCTCTCTGCATTGTGGTTTGGAAACTTTCTCAAGGCAGTAAGCTGGGACAATTCTTTTCTTTTTTTTGAGACGGAGTCTTGCTCTGTTGTCCAGGCTAGAGTGCAGTGGCACAATCTCGGCTCACTACAACCTCCACCTCCCAGGTTCAAGCGATTCTCCTGCCTCAGCCTCCCAAGTAGCTGGGATTACAGGCAGCCGCCATCATGTCTGGCTAATTTTTGTATTTTTGTAGAGGCGGGGTTTTACCATGTTGGCCAGACTGGTCTTGAACTCCTGACCTCAGGTGATCTGCAAGCTGGGACAATTCTAAGTCCCACCTCATTTACTTCCTGTCTCCTGGGGGCTTTGTTCTTTGCTGCGTGATGTCCACTGTTTTGAAAAGTATTTTTCATAGGTTTTATCCAGGTTTTTTTTTTATTGTTTTAGGCAGGAGGGTAAATCTGCTTGCAGTTATTCTATATAGGGTGGAACAGTGACTTGCTTCCAACGAACAGAATGTACAGGAAGTGACAACATGTTACTTTTGAGACTAAGACATAAAAGATATTTTGGCTTCTTCATTGGTCTCCCTCTCTTTTGGATCAGTTGTTCTAGGAGAAGCCCACTGCCACAAATTAAGGACATTCACGCAGTCCTTTGAAGAGATCTGAGTAGTCAGGAAATAAGAATTTCTGCCAACAGCTAAGTGAATATGCCATCTTACAACTGGATCCTCCAGCCTCAATCAAGCTTTCAGATGACTGACATCTTGGTTACAACCTCATGAGGGACCCCCAAGCCTGATCTACCTAAGCCACTTATGAATTCCTAACTCATAGTTACTATGAGATAATGTTTATTAATTTAGACCACTACATTTTGGGATAATTTGTTACACAGCAATAAATAATGAATAGAGGTACGAAATCATGCTCAAACCGTAGAAAGGATCAGTTGAATTTCTTAAATAATTTTATCCTTTTCCCATCCCCAATCCAGCCTAAGTAACAATGCACAGACAAAATCCCCACACTTAGCACTTGGAGCATTTATACTCAAAACTTTCCCTGTGTGACTTTTATCAAGAAATAAACCGTGAGTTGTTGTAAGCCTAAGGTTGTGTCAAAGCAACCAGGGTATGTTCTAACTCAGGAAGCATAAAGTAATATATATTATTTTCATTCTTTATAGTATCAACAGAGATGTTATCATTCCACTTCCAATGAGGGAAACTAAGGCATTAATCAAAAAATAAATAGATTCCAGTCATATATTACTTTCATAATTCAGCAATGGATTTATGAAATTTCCTCTTTTGGAAATCTTAAATAAGACTTATATCCATTTGATAACATATATTAGCAGCAAGGCTACCTCAAGGAAGGAGATGCATAGAACCTCTGGAAGTCTTTCTCATCACTATGATTCTGAATTTTATACAAGGGAGAAAGGGAAGATTGAAATTTTGAAGAGGAGCATAGATAATTGTTTATGTATGAAGGAGCTTTGTAAAAACACTGCCCCTGGCCCAGTGATTGCCTTCCATAACCCTAGGGGACAGTTTCACCTGAGTCTATGTGGAATGTAGAAAAAATATTTTCATATTTTTGCATAGTTAGGGCTTTCTGAGCAAAGAAAACTGTTAACTGGGTTAAAGGGCAAGTCTTGTAATTTAAAAGATGATTGAATAGCCAGAGACCTCAGAAGAGATTTAGAGGCTTCCCTCCTTGTGTGTTTACATTTCGAAGGGCATAAAAGGAGTCAGTTGTTTACATTTCAAACATCTGTCAATGCCAAGGTTTCTCTCCCTCTCTCTGGAGTGGAAAGGGGCAGCTTGTAGCCTATTTATACTCCCAGATTAATAATTTTGGGGTTTCTCTTCAACAGTGCATACCCCTATATATGCAGGATGTCCTCTGGCTCTCATGGTGTCACTCGGGGGCTACAGTGTGTGAAGAAGTAGTGGGGTTATTGTTGTAAGTATTAATAACTGTGATCTCTATTCCAGAAACCTTACCACTGTATTTCCTTTCAGGATAAAATGAATAAATATAGATATACATACCACAAAAGGGAGGATACACTCATGCTGATTTTGTACCATGTATAAACTGAACAGGGACATGCGGCTGGGGCCCATCAAGCTGCAGGCTAGAGAGAAGAAGTTCTGCAGAGCCTCACAGAGGTTGGCGCAGATGTCACCCCAGGACGGTAGAGCAATGTGCACAATGAGAAGCCGTGGAGGTTGCTGGTCAATCTGAGTGTGAGTGGAGGGCCCTTTACCAGTAGTTCGCCCAGGATGCATGGCAGCAAAACCAGAGGCAGAACTGTAGCCACCAGCTGGATATTGTTTACACCTATAGCGAAGGAAAGAGAAACCACTGGTTTTCAAACTGAATTGTGTGTGCTCTGTTGAAATATAAAACGCAAGTTGAGGGAAACAATCCAGAAAGGAGTCAGACTGGGTACTAAAGCTTGTCCAGGCCATCCTTTTTTTTTTTTTTTTTTTTTTTTTTGGGGCAGCCTCCCCCGCTGTCACCAGGCTAGAGTGCAGTGGTATGATCTTGGCTTACTGCAACCTCCGCCTCCCAGGTTCAAGCAATTCTCCTGCTTCAGCTTCCTGAGTAGCTGGGATTACAAGCACGTGCCACCACGCCCAGCTAATTTTTGTATTTTTAGAGCTGGGGTTTCACCATGTTGGCCAGGATGGTCTTGATCTCTTGACCTCATGATCCACCTGCCTCGGTCTCCTAAAGTGCTGGGATTACAGGCGTGAGCCACCACATCCGGCCCAAGTCATCCAATTTTAACAGCTCCCAAGAGATCTAGATGTCTGCCTATAATGTAAGTCTGAGAATGTTTAGAGATGCTGAGTGGAACTAATAAAAAGTTACACCAAAAAACTCAAGCTTCTGTCTCAAAGTAAGCTATCTGCCCTCGTAAACTTTGTTTCTTTATTAGCATTTATTGTACTCTATTATAATTTGTTTCTATGACTCCCTCTCCCACTATATTGTAACCTTTCCAAGGGTAGAGAACCTGTCTTGTTGATTTTATTCATCAATGCCTAGTATATGTGTGTTTAGTATCTGACGAATAATTCTTAAAAATGAAAATATGACTATATTTCTCCTTGGTTAAATTCTTTGGTTGTCTGAATCTCTTATAAGGTAAAATTTAAACTCTCTTTAAGATCTGTCATTACCTGATTGTTAGCCTCATTAGAAACTGTTTTTCACCTCAAGGTTTTCATGGATACAATACCAAATATATTCACTTTAGTGCATTTGCTCATGCTGCTTCTCTGCCTCCAATACTCCTGCCTTTTCTTTACTGGCTACTTATACTTATCCCCAGGTCTCAGATTAGGAAGAGAGAACAAATGAGAATGAAGAACCAATACAAGGAATGAGAAAGGGACATCATTACAAATGCTCAAACATGAGAATGGTTATAAGAGGACATAATGAATAGCTTTATCCTAATAAGTTTGATAAAATGGACAAATTCCTAGAAAAATGTATCTAACCAATACTAAAGAAATTTTAGAAACCTAAATACTCTATAACCATTAAGGAAATGTAATCAGTAATCAAATATCTTCCCACAAAATAAGTTAGAGGACCAGATGATTTCACTGATGAGCTCCATCAAACTTGCAAAGATCAAGAATTTCCATCTTTTTTTTTTTTTAGAGATGGGGTGTTGCCATGTTGCCCAAGCCGGTCTCAAACCCCTGGGCTCAAGTGATCCACCTACCTCAGCCTCCTGAAGTGCTGAGATTATAGGTGTGAGCCACTGTGCCCAGCCAAGAATTTCAATCTTAAACAAATTATTTTACGAATAGAAGAAGAAACACTCCTCGATTAATTTTTTTTTTTTTTTTTTTTTTTTTTTAAGATGGAGTTTCGCTCTTGTTGCCCAGGCTGGAGTGCAATGGCATGATCTCGGCTCACTGCAACCCCTGCCTCCTGGGTTCAACCGATTCTCCTGCCTCAGCCTCCTGGGTAGCCGGAATTACAGGCATGCGGAACCATGCGTAGCTAATTTTGTATTTTTAGTAGAGACAGGGTTTCTCCATGTTGGTCATGCTGGTCTCGCACTCCTGACCTCGGGTGATCTGCCCGCCTTGGCCTCCCAAAGTGCTGGGATTACATAGGCATGAGCCATGGCACCCGGCCTCCTCAATTAATTTTATAAGGTTAGCACAACCTTTGAAAGTGAAACCAGCCAGGCGCGGTGGCTGACGCCTGTAATCCCAGCACTTTGGGAGGCCGAGATGGGCGGATCACGAGGTCAGGAGATCAAGACCATCCTGGCTAACACGGTGAAACCCCGTCCCTACTAAAAATACAAAAAATTAGACGGGCGTGGTGGTGGGCGCCTGTAGTCCCAGCTACTCGGGAGGCTGAGGCAGGAGAATGGCGTCAACCCGGGAGGCGGAGCTTGCAGTGAGCCGAGATCACGCCACTGCACTCCAGCCTGGGCGACTGAGTGAGACTCCGTCTCAAAAAAAAAGAAAGTGAAACCAGATAAAGGTGTAGTAAGAAAAAAATTATAGGATAATCTCACCCATAAACTTGTAAAAATTCTAAATATAGAGAGATTGAAACTAATAATATATAAAAAGAATAACAGCAGGACCAAGTTGAGTTTATCCCAAGAACATAAGGTTGACATAACATTAGAATATCAATCACGTCATTCATCACATTAAATAAGTAAGTGAGAAAAATGATATGATCATCCCAATAGGTGCAAAGAAAAGCCTCCGTTTAAAACCCAACATTTGTGCATGATAAAGACTGAGTAAGAACAGATGATAGGAATAATCTGATAAAATGTATTTACAAAAATGGAGAGCAAACATCATTCTTCAAGGTGATATGTTGAAAGCTTTCCATGCAAGACAAGGAGCATGCTATCATCACTTCTATTCAGCATTATAGTGAAGGTAGTAATGAGGTAAGACAAATAAATAAAAGGCATTGCAATGGAAGAAAGACAACTGTCATTGTGTGCCAATGACTGCGTACATAGAAAATCTAAAATAATCTACAGCTTTATAATTTTTCCCAAAAGATCTCCTTGTCTGTTGTCAAATTTTAGTCTTAGGGATCTGTTAATTTTTAAATATTAATTTACACTTCAAAGAACTACCGATGACAAAGTTTCTCTCCCTTTCTCATCTTTTTAAATTTCATTTTTAGTTTGTTGCTAATGTATAAAAATATAATTAATTAAAACAATTTTTTATAGAGATGGGGTCTTGCTATGTTGCCCAGGTTGGTCTTGAACTTCTGAGCTCAACCAATCCAACCGGCTCTGCCACCCAAAGTGCTGGGATTATAGGCATGAACCACTGTGCCCAGCTATAATTAATTTTTGTATATTGATTTTATATTTAACAACCTTGCTGCACTCTCTTACTAATTATAATAATTTATCTGTAGAATTTTTGGATTTTTTTGTTCTTAATCATATAATCTTTAAATAATCATATATACCAGGATATATGAAAAAAGTCAGATCATAGCAGCCAAAAGACTATTAGTAACAATCTTATTCACAATTACCCAAAACTGAAAAAAACACAAATGTCAATCTACATTAAAAAGGATAAATCATAGTATATTTCCACATACAGCAATGAAGATGAATGAACTACAGTTGCATGTGGCAACATGGATGATGCTAAGAAACGTAATATTGAGTAAAAGCAGCAAGACACAAAGAATACATACACATGTAGCATGATTTCATCTACATAGATTTTAAAAATAAGCAAAAGTAGCTATATTGTTTAGAGAAGCATACACAGTGATAAAACTATAAAGAAAAGCAAAGAAATTATTATCACAAAAATGACAGCAGTGATTTTCCCTATGAAGGAATGAAGGCATTATGATAAAAAGAGACAAAAGAAGGGGGTCCTAGGGTGTTGGTAATGTTCAATTTTTTTTTTTTTTGAGATAGGGTCTTACTCCACCGCCTAGGCTGGAGTGCAGCAGTGGCCCAATCTCAGCTCACTGCAACCTCCACCTCCCAGGCTCAAGTGATCCTCCTACCTCAGCATCCTAAGTACCTGGCACTACAGGCATGCACCACAATGCCTTGCTAATTTTTGTGTGTGGTTCTTTTTTTGGTAGACAGAGTTTTGCCATGTTGCCCAGGCTGGTCTCAAACTCCTGGGCTCAAGCGATACTCCCACCTTGGCCTCCCAAAGTACTGGGATTATGGGATGAGCCACCACTTCCAGCCTAATGTTCTATTTCTTGATATTTATTGTGGATATTGGGTGTTCACTTTATACTATTTAACTATACAGTCATGTTTTATGACATTTTCTGTATATATGTTATATTTAATAATAAAAATATTTTTAAAAGAACATTAGGACAATCAAAAGAAAACATAAAAGAAACACGATAAAAAAGATAGCTAAAAAATATGTCCCCACCTCTGAGAACTAAAATCATTCTATATAATTGTTTTTAGCTAAAGAATGTAGGGAAAATTAAAGCTTCTTTAATTTCCCCTGTGACCAAGAGAAAGATAATTACGGTAATTTTCAGAAACACTTTAGAATTTAGAATCTTTAAAAATGATCTAAGAATACATAGATAGATGTATTTCCCCAGATGAATCTGTGAAGTTATTCACTTCAAACTTCCCTTTTTGAATGGCGGAAGTCAGCATTTGTTCATTCAACATTTTTAAAAATTGAGTTCCAATTATGTGCTGGATACAGCTAGAAAAATAAATGAATGAATATGCTAATCTGTTGAAAGTTATCTTGAACCAGAAATCCAAATCATTACTAATGTATTTACCAAGAAAGCACATAACATATTTTTAAACTGTACTTTAAGTACATGGGGCCAATTTCTACACGGAATGCTGAACTTGAAGCTGACACAGAGAAATTCACACAAATAGGCAATTAGAGGCCTTATTTAATGTATAATTAAATTTAATTATCCATCTCCATCTCTCACTTCTGAAAATGCCATTTTAAAGTAGAGGCAGTCCTCATTTTGCATGGTTCCAGTATATAGATTTCAGTTACTACAGTTTAGTTAATTAACACCAATTCTCCAACAACACAGTTCAAATTTCAGTTACCATGGAATATTAACTGTAATTACATAAAGTAGTATCCAGCTCTTCAGTTCACAAATTATTACATAGTTATCAGTATCGATAGTATAGTATACTGATATCGTGCACTGATACAATATAGTGATCAGTGCATCATGATCAGTAATTAATTACATCACTTCTTTCAAAGTCTTTTGGTGACTGGTCACTGCAGATCCGTTATTCGGTTACAGCGCAGACAGCAAAGTGCATAGTTGTGTCGCCTCCTTGTCTCCTAGAGATAAGCCCACGTGATGTTTTACAAAAATGAAAATTGAAGGAGGAAACTAGCCAATAAAAAGAGCAGCAAAGAAATAAA